GATGGTGACTCTATGAATGAGAGACCTCCAAGTCCCCTATATGGTCCTCCTTTTTTCCTACTGTCTTATACCTTATCAAGCATTAGTGTCTTCTTTTTTGAGTCAATGCCTTTTTATGATATGGCCAAAGTACAATAGTCTCAGTTTAAGAATCATCTTGGCTTCTAGGGAAAGTTCAGGTTTGATTTGCTCTAGAACTCATTGATTTATCTTTGTCCACAGCATTAGCAAAATTCTTCTCCAGCACCACATTTGAATGAGTTGATTTCAAGTCCTTCTCTTCTTATGATTTCTTGACTGCTTCCTCCATTTTGATTATTTTTAATTTTTATTTATAAATTAAAAAAAGTTCACATATGTACATAAAGTACATATTATCCAATACATTAATTTTTCTTTTCTTTACTTCCTTACTTCCCTAATTCCAGTCTTCTCATAGCCATCTATCACAAAGCTCAAATCATCTCAAATTCCTGTAATTGTCTGAATCTTTCTCATTTAGATAGTTGATAGAAAGAAAGATAAAGAAAGAAGAATCATTATTGCATACATCCAATACCAATACCATTCTGGTTTGAAACAATCATTTCAAACAAAGCATTTTTTAAAATTTCTCCTTGACTTATTTACACTTTGCTAACAATTATAGAAATTCTTGTTATCTAACCTTGTATTTCTAATTTTCTTATCTATTCATGTTTTCCATCTTTGTCTTACATTACATTATTCATTATGTCCTTTGTTTGTACATATATTGTATAATTGGTTGCCATTATTTTTCTGTCAATCCAGGGGGTTTACCATCTATTAAATTTGTTAATCAATCTATCTGTATCAATTTTTGTATTTCACATAACAGTCTTTCACCTTAAGCCCCTCTTTGGCTTTCCAGTTCTAATACTGCTGTACCCAAATATAACAATATCCTCCAGTACTTTTTCTCTTTTTCTTTTTTCAATGTGGGGATCATATTCAAAAGGTATAGCTCAGGCGATATTGGATCCCTAATATTTTTTATATGTTTATGGATTTCCCCCCCC